TTCTGGTTAGCTGTCAGATGCTTTAGGCACCACACCACCACAGCCCCCTTTTTTGGTTTTGGTTTCCACTTTACCAAACATGATGTCCTTCAGGGTCTGGACCCTGCTGATCAAACGTCCAAAGTAGGTGAGATGAAGTCTGGCCATCCTTGCTTCTAAGGAGCATTCTGGCTGCACTTTTTCCAAGACAGACTTTTTCATTCTTCGGGCAGTCCACGGTATTTTCAGTATTCTTCATCAACACCACAATCGTAAGGTGTTAATTCTTCTTTGGTCTTCCTTATTCATTGTCCAGCTTTCCCATACATATAAGGCTACTGAAAAGACCATGGCTTGGGTTAGGCGCACCTTAGTCTTCAAAGTGACATCTTTGCTCTTCAGCACTTGAAAGAGGTCTTTTGCAGCACATTTGCCCAGCGCAGTATGACATCTGATTTGCTCGTTGCTGCTTTCATGAGTATTGATTATGGATCCAAGTAAAATGAAATCCCTGACAACTTCAGTCTTTTCTCCATTTATTGTGATGTTGATTATTGGTCCAGTTGTATTTTTGTTTTCTTCATGTTGAGGTGTAATCCATATTGAAGGCTGTACTCTTTGATCTTCATCAGTAAGGGCTTCAAGTCTTCTTTACTTTCAGCAAGCAAGGTTGTGTCACCTGCACTTTACAGGCTGTTAATGAGTCTTCCTCCAGTCCTGATGTCGTAGGCTTCTTCATGTCGTCTAGCTCCGTTGATCATTTGCTCAGCATGCAGATTGAATGAGTGTGGTGAAAGGATACAACCCAGATGCACATCTTTCCAGATTTTAAACCCTGCAGGATTCCTCGTTCTGTTTGCACTACCTCTCGTTCTTTGTACAGGTTCCTCATGAGCACAGTTAAGTGTTCTGGAATCCCCAGTCTTCTCAGTGTTACCCAGAATTTGTTATAATCCACACAGGTAAACATCGTTTTGGCACTCTCAGCCTGCTATGTTGTTGTTGTTAGGCTCCATCGAGTCAGCTCCGACTCACAGTGACCTTGTGTACAACAGAACAAAACACTGCCCAGCCCTGCGCCAGTCGTGTATTGGCACTGGGTTAGGGGTGCTCTCCCCCTCTTAGCAGGAGTCGGTGGACCAACTCCATTTCACAGAGACGCTGGGAGGCAGAGTCTTCCGTCTTTGAGTGACTGGGGCTGGTAATCTTGCAGCCCCCTCCTGGGCTCTCCCCTTCTCATTTCAAACCTGGATTTCCCCACATGTGACATGGACAGGCGCCTGTGGCTTGTTGTCATATTAAATAAGATGAATAAGTACCAAATGCCTGGGTCCTTGGGTGGACAAAGGGTTCGTGCTCAACTACTTACCTAAAGGTTGGTGGTTCAAACCCACCCACTGGTGCTGTGGCAAAACGGCTTGGTGACCTGCTTCAGTAAAAGTTACAGCCGAGAGGGCTCTATGGAGCAGTTCTCCTCTGACACATGGCATGGCCAGGGCTCAGAGTTAACGCAAGGGTGATGCGTGTTGTTTGCTTTTCGGCATATAAAATAAGTGTGTGTTACATTGCCTCTCCCTCCCTCTCCAGTCTCATGGGCACACCTGGTACAATTGTGTATAAGGGAGGGAGAATGGTGTGGTGGCTGCCCACTAAATCAGGAGTTGTTGGGAAGAGACCGCACAGAACCACTCTGCAATGACCCAGTGGCAGCGACACCTGCTGCGTGTGTTTCTGGAAGCTGTGGACTGTGGGCTGCTCTCCCTCCCACTGTTCTAGGGCTGTCTGCATCCCCTGAAAGGGGAACACTTTCAGTGCCTTTGGGTTGTCAGGCAGTGAACTGAAGCTGGCCTTTGTAGTAACACTTAGGAAACATTCGGACCTTTTGTTTGGAGACAGCACTTGTCCGAGGTGGAAGAATGAGGGACACTCTTGCTACACATTTAGGTGGCTCATGGGGAAGAAAGATGAATGGTTAACAAGTCCCCCAAAGTGTGCAGCCTGCAGGGTTCAGACTGTGCACTGAAACATCAGTGAGCTGCCACTTGGCCTGTGACTAGAAAAGATGAAAAGTTGACACTGGTCGTGTTGGCAGGTGCAGAGAGAGGACAGACACCCTGTGCTGACGGGGGAGTTTTCTGAGAAAGAACTTGGTGTCATGCATCACTGCCCTGTAGGTCTCTACACTCTCGAGTCAGTAATTCCCTTTCTGAAAATGCACCCTGACAAGCAGCCTCAAATGCAGATGAGCATTTAGGCACAGAGATGTTTGTCATGTTTTTGTTTTTGTTTTTTTTCACAATAATCATTTTTTTTTAATGGAAAAGCTCTGAGAGTCCAAGACATGGGGTTGTCGGGTGAGTTATGACATGTGCACATGATAAAATATTTTGGAGACTAATTTTTAGTGTGAAGTTGTTCATACTAAGACAGAAACCTTTGAAGTGTGTGTGTGCGTATATCTGTGTGTTTGTATGCAGTGTGTGTAATGATTTAAACTGGATTAAAATGTGCACACTTGGGAGAGACTGCACACAGAGGTGCTAACAGGACGGTGTGAGATTCGAGTGCTCTGTACTTTCTTTTTTGTGCTTTTCTTGACCAGAAGCCTCTCTTCTTTTATAACCAGAAGAAAACAGCAGAGAGAATTGTTTTAAAAGCACTTCTTGCCATAAACGATGGTCCTCTCTGCTGGTGCAAGCATCTTCCGCACTCCTGAGAGCCTCAGCCAGAGCTCCCCACCCTCACTGACTGCCTGGCCTGGTGACCTCGACCTCTTCTTTGGGTTTCATCTTGTATTCCTTCTCTGTGAACACCGATCCCTCGTTTGTCAAAGGGGACACCCCCACAGACCGATTAGAGCATGCTAACCAGGAGGCTGGCGGTTCAAACCCA